CAGTGCCAAGTGTGCAGACCTGATCAAACAACACCCATGCAAGAGTCAATACTTCACTTGGCCGACCCACAAACATAAGCACGTTCACAGTAACACACACACACACACACACACTGAGGGTGAGACAGATATGCACACGAACACAGGTACAAATTCCCCCTCCCCCACACACACACACACACACACTCAGTTGTTAGCTCGTGCGCTGTATACTCACATGGCCATCTCAAACTGGTCCAACCACTTCTTCTTCAACTCTTTGGTCTTGAAGAACAGCTCGAAGCCCGTGTGTCCCTGCTGGTGAGTCAGGTAGAAGCCGTAGCACCACTGTGGAAGCGCAGAGGGATGCAGTCACAGAGATGGACACAGTTCTTTTGCAGTGAAATCCCACTCAATTCAATTCAACGCAATTCAATTCAGTGCAATTCAATAAGGAATTAAGTAAATGACGTGCAGAAAAGGTTAAAAACAGGAGCGTCGGAAAGAACTGGTGGCCGTGGCTAGAGCGGGTTGCCTAGTAACCGGAAGGTTGCTGGTTCGATCCCTGGCTACTCCTAGCTAAGTGTGGAGGTGCGAGCTGGCTGTCACCTCGCATGGCTGACTCAGTGTGTGTATGAATGGGTGAATGTGAGGCAATCATTGTAAAGTGCTGGTCATGGCCGCAGGTCCTAAAAAGCGCTATATAAATGCAGTCCATTTAACTAGTGCGGAGCCCCCACAAAGACTCGCCATGGAGATGAGAGATCAGGACCCCGGACAGCGCCCTACAGGAAGCGGGAACAGGCCATATTTGGGCACAGTAATCAGTATTATGGGCACCGGCTGACGCAGACCTGGAGGCGAAGCAGCTGGAACCAATCACTGATAATTAGCTCAGCTGTTTTAACAAGGAGGTTCTCTGACTGGGTCAATGGGGAGAAGCTGAACCGAAGCCGAGCAACACGTGTAGATCGGCTCGCATTAGAGGACTCCCTCTATGGGTCAGACGGGTTAAACACATGCGATTGCATGCGTGACCTCTTATTGGCTGATTGGGTTCCGATGAAGCGTTGATGCGACACACCTGTGCTCCGCCTCATGAAAGTGGATTGGAGGAAGGTTTACGGGGCAGCGGGCAGCCCTGCAGCCCCAGAAGGAACAAAAACCTGAAAGCATTTGCGGTGTCAGGCAATTTGGTTCTCCGTTTGAGAGAATCACGCCGCACAAGGGGGAGGCCAACATAAAGACCTAGGTTGGGTGAAGGAGATATTTAGTTTTGTTCTAGTCCTCACCTCCTCTCCATGCACATTTTTCAATAAATACATTTTATTTGCATTCAACCGTGTCTTGATCTGACCCACTGAGTTGCCACGCTAAGCATGTGTAAACCGTGCTATAAGCTGCCCTACAGCGTATCATAATGTCGCCACAGTTGCACAACACCATCTAGTGAAACAGCGTGACTGTCTGATCCCATTATAATCGACAAACCAATGTTCAGCTACTTTGTAGGGTAACCAAATACTTCAAATGAAACCTCAGGGACAGCACCATCTCTGGTGAAACACAGGCTATGACAGCAGCTGTTTTGGATTGGCTCAAATTGGTGGCAATCAAATGATGAAAGGCGACATCACCATTGCACTAATCGCCTGGCACATGTCAACCAATCAGAGGCCACCTGAGCCTGAAGTCACTCGACCCTGGGTGCGTCCCATGTCTCTTATTTGACATTTCCTTGCTCCTCGATCCTCGCTTAAACCGGAAGTCGTTCGGGTCCGCCATTTTGAAGGTCGTCCCAAAGCTCTTATTTCTGCACCAAGGAGCGAGCAATCGAGAGCGAGGAGGGACCTCTGAGGAGCTAGGAGCGAGGATACACAGAGAGGAGCCTTCCCGTTACTCTCCACAACTGAACGCCATGTTGTTAATAACTCTGCCCTTAACATCTGGCAAATTTTAACGGGATGGCAGTGAAACAGTACAAGTGTCCATTGTTTTATGCTTCTTGATATAATAATAATAATAATAATAATAATAATAATAATAATAATGAAGAAGAAGAACTTTATGTATATAGCACTTTTCAAAGCAAAGTTACAAGTGCTTTCCATACAAATTAAAATAGGAAGAGTAACAGTTACAATAAAAATCCAACAAGGGAAAGCAAGCAACAAGTAATGAATAAAAGAGGCAATAAAATAAATGTGTCTAAACGGAGTCATGAAGGCGGGGGGTTGAGGGCTACTGTTTGTGTCAGTGTGAATATAATGGGTACAGACGCTGGCAGCAGATCCAGCTGTGCCGCCGTCATCAAAAACGGACGTCGCTTCACATGACACTTGAGAGGAAAGGACGTCTCATTTCTCTAAAAACATATTTCCTAGTTTCCTCTCTCCTCGCATGGTTTCCTTGCGTCTCTCCATGAATCCTCGGTGGACGGGACGCAAGGAAAGGACACAAGTGAGGGAAACGTGGATGCAATTCAAGAGCCATGAGATGCACCCCCTGTGCACATTTCCTTCCCGCAGGTACTTAAGGTGCAGTGTATAGGATATAGTGGCATCTAGCGGTGGGGTTACAGATTGCAACCAACTGAATACCCCCACTCCTGCCTCACCTCCCCTCCCTTTCTGATGACGAAGGAGAAGCTTTGGTGGCCTGTACTGGCTGGTTAGGTGCTTGCATTTACCCTTTGTCCGTTCTGGGCTACTGCAGAAACATGGCGGTGCAACATGGCGGCCTCCATGGAAGGCGACCCGCTCCCCATGTAGATATAAACGGCTCATTCTAAGGTAACGAAAACACAATTCTTATTTTCATAAGAATTATGCACTAATTAAAACTTAGTTATGAATATTATATTCCATTTCTTCCAAGACTGTTCTGCTAGATGCCACTAATTTCTGTACAAAGCGTTTTCCTCGTACGATATCCAACAGCAAAATACACAATCAAACTTAATGACTTTCATCTAATATCAGTGAGTGAAATGGGTTCTCACGGGGTGGCTGGTCGGGTCTGCATGGTGCTGAGCGCTTTGCGAGCGCAGTGTTAAATCATTGATGTGCTCGCCAGCAACCCCCGTACACACACTGAAGTTTCATTTAGCAAAAAATGATAAATGGCCGCAAGCAGCCTTGGAGGACCGCACACATTCATCACCTGACATTAGCATCCCCCTTAGCATCTCTGTCCTCTGGCATCTCTGTCCTCTGGTTTGTGTGTGTGTGTGTGTGTGTGTGTGTGTGTGTGTGTGTGTAGGGGTTCAATGGGTTCAATGAACATGCATGTCAGTGTCTGTGTTATTTTATTGATTTGTTATTGTGTTTGCACCTATCACAGTGACCGTGTCTGTGCGTATGGGTATATGTGTGTGTCTGTGTGTGAGTTTGTGGGTGTGCGTGTGTGTCTGTGTGTGTGCATGTGTGCACATCTGTGTCCATGTGTGTGTGACAAAAAATGATGATCTACAGTAAGTGGAGAGGAGGGTGTGTATATACACATAACAGATGCATCAGATCTAAACACAGAATCGACAGATTTACTCTCTTCGCACCATTGCAAGTACAGGGAACCATTCATGTTGTTTTACGTGACGGTATTACGCATGCACACACATGCATGCTGTGTACAAATCTATGTACACACACACACATAAATCAGTATCATACAAACACGTCACGATCATACGGATAATTACACACACACTCACACACTCACACATTCACACACACGTGTACACACACACAGACACACAGTGTAATTTGCATAATGATCGCACAGCAGATTAAATGACATTGATCACAGAGTCCCTTTGATAGAAACCCAGGGAGACGCCCCGCCCTGACAAGCTGTCACTCTCACAATTCATCAGCGCCCGGCGACAGAAAGAAAAGACACCATCTGGGGGGCATACATCACGCAACAAGCGCCCTCCTCCACAATCCAGCCGCAAAACACAACACAAATAAACATGTGACACTTGTGGCCATGAAGCCTTACATTAATAAAGAATATCCACGTCCACCGCCAATATACGTATATATATATATATATATATATACATATATATATTGTTCTGATGTATTGCTCTTGTTGATATATGCATTCATATATCTTAATGTGTGTGTGTGCGTGTGCGAGTGTGTGTGTGTGTGTGTTACGCGGCTGACCCCTGAAGTCCAGAGTGAAGTAACCTCTAATTGTTCCGGATTGCTCTCATTAGCCACGGCTAATTAGCTTTCATCAATATAAACGTGCTGTACTCGACCGTCTCTGCTGCAGTCCAACAGACATGCCGCTACACCAGTGGTTAAGCCTGTGGCAAGACTTAGCCCCAACACATATTTGGACACATCACGTAATCCAAAGTGTCATTATTGATTGACAGGTGTGATTATCAATAGCATTTTCGGCATCCTTTCCTCAGTCTGAGATCGACTGTTTTAAATTCATTCGAGTGCAACTAATTTGTTGTTGTGTTTTTGTGTTATGTGTGCAGCTCCTTTCATGGTCGCTCTCGTGCCAGTCTAGTTATTTTTTCATGTTTCTTTATCTTTTATAGAACTAGAGTTTGGAAATAGTGACGCAACCCGAGTCGACGTAGTCTTTTCATGTTGTTGTATGTGAGAGGTATGTCTATTTACAATCTCCTCTTATCATCATAACGATCCTCTCCTAGGCCATTTCTTCTTCACCCAGTACCGCTACAATTCACTATTTCCCATTTCCCATTCAATGGGAAACGTCGAACGGCAGCCGGCTCACAGCCATTTAGGTCAAGCTCCTCTTTGATTAGTTTCCGTGTTGATCTCCGTTTTACCCACAATCAGCATAATTGAAGTGGGCAGTTGTTTTTTCATGTTGTTTTCATATTAATTAAAAGACAAATCGACAATGATGATAAACGATAAAACAATATATGGTAGAAACTGGTTTTATAATAATATAATATATAATATATGTCATTTGGTGGACATTTAGTTTTACAATACCTTGAGGGCATACATTTTTAGCATGGATGGTCCCAAAGGGAATCGAACCTCCAACCCTGACGATGTTACTAATACCACGCTCTACCAGTTGAGTTAGTCAGGACCAACTCATCTATATTCTATTAATGAAAACGTTCAACTATAACTCATATTCTTTACTCAGTGACTCTTTCACAAGAGTGTCTTGTCTCTATCTCTTTGGGGGGGATAATAATGAGTCTTTTAAGGTAAACCTGAAGCTGCCAGGAAAAAGTTTATTTAGCAGTATGGTAGTTTAATTGGAGATATCCGCAGTAAGAAAAAAGCATAGATAAGACAGATATGTTGGTCTTTTCTCTTGCAAAACTATGCTGTGGTTTTACCAGCTCCACCCATGCTCCGCCTGCATAGATCAGATACTCTTTTTGCACACACATCAGATATTGAGTTGTTTGACAGTATGTGATCAGGACTATACTGTGTGAAGATGTGCAACAAACTGGACATAAGACAGCTGTGCTTCTACGCACTGGTAGCACGATGGTAGTTGCACATTGATTAGTTTGCATTGCCATTGCCCACTGACCTTTTTACCTTCTCTGTCTGAGGTGGGGTTGTTGGTGATCTTGTAGAAGTTGAGGTCCAGCACGTCCTTCAGCTCGTAATTGTCTCCACGCCGCTTACACACAATGACGGCCATGTCGAAGAGAAAGATGTGCCTGGGAGGGAGGGAGGGAGAGAGAGAGAGAGAGAGGGGGAGAGAGTGAGAGAGAAAGCGAGAGAGAGAGGGGGAGAGAGTGACAGAGAGAGACAGAGAGAGAGACAGTGAAGGAACACGCTTTTGTAAGACTAATGGTGTAAGTGATGGAAGTGACAATGTCGACGGCGCTCCGCTCGGCCCTTCTATCAGCACTGAAGTGGAGAGTGCTCCATCAAGGTGAAACACGCCGTGGAGCATTATATCTGATGTCTTATCGGCTATTTTACCCGTTGACCTCACTTTCTTAATGGTTCAATCAATGGCTTCTTCACTGGAAATCAAGTTGTTCACAGGAAGATAAATATTGGCTCCTTATCAGGTGTTTTCATCTCCCCTCCCCTCCCCCGTTTCCCTTCCTCAAGCGATTTCAACCTTCTACGTTCTGTGTTGACTTACTTCTGAGGTGGTTTCCGTTCCGATACTGATCCACATTGAAGGGGTTATGGCTTATGAATTACCTGTCTTGTTTCCTCTTGTCAAAGTTGGAGGCGATGCGCACTTCTCCATCGCCCTTGTGCCTGCCGTAGCTAACGAGAGGCTGGTTCTGGAGACCCAGAGGAGAGGAAGGGATATGGGCTTATTAAAAACATGGCTTGCGGAGCAAGATTACTGGGTAATCTTCCAATAATGCGGAAATTATCCGATTCTCAGAAGAGAATTTGTTTGAAAATTTAAAGATGTTTTATTCATTTATTTAGTGACGATACCAAACATTTACTGCTCATAGCGTCACCAAATGCAAATATCTGTTTTTGTGATCATTCTGAAATTATCATTATAATTTATTTTGCATTCATCACTTCTTGGCTGCTTGTAAGACAAAGTAAGCAGTGCACTGTTAAGTTTTGCATTTACATTTTATAGACCAAATAATTAATTAACTAAAATCAATTGATTAATCCATCTATTTATCTATGTATCTATTTATCAACACATCTATCTGTATGTTGTGAGTGGGCACGGGGCGGCACCAGGACATCACCCTGGAGAGAGCTACTCACCTGGGCTGTGTTTGAAATCATCAACACTCAGCAACAATCACTACTCCCTACTCACTATCTAGGGAGGTCTATGTAGAGGACTATATAGAGCTCACTACTCCCTACTCACTATCTAGGGAGTAGGGAGTATCTAGGACTATATAGTGAGCTCATCAGCAAAATGAAAAAACACTTTCGGACACTACTCGGGTCGCCGTTATTGCTGTCACATTATTAATCTTTGTGTTCTTGTGTGGACAGAGCGATTCTAAAACTGTTGGTGTGTACAAGAATGTTGTTGAAAGAGGGGGAAAAAATACGCTTTCAAAAATATTCACATACGTGTGGATAGGGTCTCAGACAGGCCATTTTTTTGGCCCACGCTCTGTACCTCACAATATCTAGTCCCACAGTGTACAGTTATAGATGTATAAATTATATTGGGTTTACCAGGTTTTCGATCGACCTCTGGTACTGGTCGATCTCTCTCAGTGTCTCATTGTCCCTCTTAACCTCGTTGACATACTGGGCCAGGTCCTGGGACACACACACACACACACATAAACGAACAAATTGTAAGAAAAGTAATCAACTTTCTCTCACATGCACACACCCATGCACACACACACATCTAAATAATTTTCCTTTGAGTCATTGCTTGCATTTTTGATGACAGCCCAAAGTGTGTCATCTACTTATCAGATACAGACAAGCTGAAGTGTTTGCTGCGTGAGTGCGGTGCTCTTCACAGATCACGTGTAGTGTAAATGCTTTTATTTTATCACTTCACACTTATTGCCGACTGCCAAACATGAATGATTTATTATTTTTAATGGCCCAAAAACGCGGCTTCAGAGATTTTTTTTTTCAAAATAAAGGTCCTCGCGTGTCAAACGGTTCGCGGGCAACTTCAAAAATCACATTGATTATATGCCTTTTAACCACCAGCACCACACTTACTTTCATGGCATCGACTGCCATCCTCAAGTTGCTCTTGTCGGTCGTGTCTTGAGTGTGTTTCACCAGCTCCTGTGTGAAAGACAAAAGAAAAGCTGAACAATGGCATAGACATACACACACCTGCGCGCACACACACGCACACACACACACAGGCATGCAGATACACACACTTCTATTATATGAGAGTCGGTGATCGACGGACGGCTTTTTCATCAGGGATGAAAAGACAGCCTATTGTGTAATCTAAAATCTAATCAGTATGTAGAGCTTGGATGAATGAGGATCTAGAAGTACACATGGCTTTTTCTCCCTGGGTGGACAGACAGACAGACTTAAAACCCCTCTCCAGCATGAATAACTCCTATGATAATACAAAGAATGAGAATCTCTTCCAACCACCGAAGCAAACCCCCACTTTGACTTGAGTGACTTAGAGGAATAGGCCTGTGAGAATAATTCATAAATAATAATAATAATAATAATAATAATAATAATAATAATAATAATAATAATAATAATAATAATAATAATAAAGTCAAGACAGTCCCCATGCCTTCATCAACCTCGCCACCCACCACCGGCAACACAAACCGGGTACTACAGGGAGCCGCAGTGTGGAGAACAGTCCGAGTCACCGCCCATTGACACCAGGGGAGGGGCCTGACCTCTTACTACTAATTAAAACCCACTCCCTATTGGCTCGCCTCAACTTGGTGTCAGCCCACGCCTTCACCTCTGATTCATACTAACTAGAGGTGAACTTCTCACGCTGCTAGCAGAGGGAAATAGTATCCAGGTGAATTAGGAAGAAGTAGTGCTTTTTCTTTTATTTCTTTGCGGGCATTTTAAGAGCCACCTCTCCCCAGCACTGATAAAACACACTAAATGTACACTACGCAAGTGCTCAAGTCTTGTGTTCTTTACTTAAATCGGTGAGATATGCTGCCATTGCCACACTTGTTCCCCCCCTCCAAGCCAAAACAAAGGCTCCAATAAAGATGTTATGAAGGGATATACACGAGAGGAAAGTGGAGGGGGTTTATCACAGGGAGTGGAGGGAATGGATATAATTGCCTATATTAACCCAGGTTATTAGTAAAAAAACATATTTTATTTCTGCAATGTAAAACAGAACCTCTGAATCATTCCACAAGGGCGTTTGTGACGAAGACGTTGAATATGTCGCCCCCAAGTGGCTGCTGATAAAATGACACCCCGGAAAAACCTGTGCAGGTCAGAAGACTTTTCAGGCCTAAAATGGTCCTGAGAGCACGGCCTATACCTGCAGCAGTAGATGGTACTTGAGGACTCTCTGCATGGGGACGACCAGCAGATCCCGCAGGGTAAACTTGCCGTTGTTAGCCCTCTTGGCACACTCCTTAGATTAGATTAGATACATACGAGACAAAATCAGTCAATTGCAAAGTAACATGACAGCACTTTTTAACATCAACATGAACTGACCAGTATGACATAAAATAATGGAGGTTAACATAATTATGATATATTCATTTTGGGTGACTGGGTATTTGGGTATTTGTTTTTGTAACATTTTCAGACGTCAATATCGGACATTGTTCTATGCCAGAGCCCGTCTGTTATGCAGTACACAAAAACAACCAATAGAGAGTGCTATAATATACAGTATATGTAAAGGCATTGCTCAGGTGTCAGTGAGTATTTGCTGTTGTATGTGGTTCATGTATTTGTATGTGTGTTGTAAATAAAGGTCAGACATACCCCTAGCTTTAGACGAATATCCTCTTTCTCCTTACAGATGAGGTCCAGCACGGCGATGGCTATCTCCACCTGACTGCAGTATATCCCATAGATCAGCAATCTGTCCACAGAGAAACATAGAGGAAGAGGACTCTATGACATTATGGGTTAAAGAGTCCGCTCAAGCCAAGTTTGCTCACTGAATGAACACGTTAATTGATTTAAATAATGTTCAACACCGTGACAAATGGATAAATAAAATAAAAATTGAAAACTTGAATGGATTATTAGATTGTTTGATTATAGTGATTTAATTGCTTTTCATTGCAGGAAAAAAAATGTCTTCATTTCTGTCTCGTGAATTTATTGTTTCTCAAACCAAATTCCTCTAAATTATCATATTATTTCCACTCACTGTATTTATTTTCCCAATAAAACCAATGAATTTGATTATATTGAGTATGATATAGCATGTGTTGATTAATACAAATTATATAATATAGCATTATGACACAGTTCTGGAACCAGAATGAATTAGGCCTGTTTGCCTTGTGGAACTCATCTATTGCAGCAGGGGGTGCCATTGGGAACCAATAAATAGCACATTCACCAAATAATATTTCTGCAAAATATACATGCGGAAAAGCCACAACGACATGTTTTGAGAAGCTTTAATGTTTAACTGTAATAAAAATATGTTGTTATAG